CTCCCTTCCTGGTGTTACGCAGGGTCCACGCATGCAGCGTGGACGCTGCATACGTGTAACCCGTGTGCGCAATTGGTCTGTGTATACACGTGTGCAGCGTGCCGGGTGTATGACGTGCACAGGTGTACGTGTCTCGGGGTGTTCCACGTGTGCACGTGTGTGCAATGCTGTGTATACGTGTACAACGCGTGCCGGTGTATGACGTGCACAGGTGTACCCGTGCACCGGGGTGTTCCACGTGTGCACGTGTGCAATGTGAATTCAGATAAGGCGGCAAAGTGTGGAGCGCCACGTTTAATGAATCCAGCCGTTGGTATGCTGTTCTACGCGTGCACGTGTGCACGTGTGCTCAGTGTACAATGTGAATTCAGATAATCTAGCCGTTGGTACTTACCAAGTTATGCGCTCCTCGACCTCCTGCCGCGCCGCGTCCTAACGTCCTAAAACAATATAACCTCAACGCCACTTCCCGTGTGCCGGTCGCCGAAAAAGTCGACCCCAAAGTCACCCTAGTGCAACAGGCCACCGCTGGGGACCCACCTCGCGAGGCGATCCGCGCCGCCGTAGAACACCGAGCCGAGCGGCTCCGCAACGCCGGTGAGGCGCGCGGCGAGGCGCACGGGCGCGAGGAGCGCGTGCGCGACGCGGGGGTGCACGGCCTGCGAGTATCCGGACACGACGACGCCGCCGACGACGAGGTCGCCGTGCATCGTGTGCGGCGCGTACAACCCGCCGGCCCGCGCGGCCACCACGCGCACCACGCGCGACGGCCCCTTGGCCGTGCGCAGCTCGTCGCCGACGCGCACCGCGCGCGCGGCCACCAGCCGCCCGCCCGCGCGCACGTAGTGCCCGCCCGTCAGGGAGACGCTCGCCCCGTTCGCTGTGCGCAGCGTGTAGAACCGCGCGGTGCGCTCCTTGGACCGGTGCGTGAACAGGAAGATCGCCGACGATTCGGAGTTGGCGCCGCCAGTCAGGAGCGAGTGTCCGCCGCGTAGCTCGTCCATGCGCAGCGTCGTCCCATCCGCCAGCGTGGCCCGCGCGGACGCTGGGAAGCACACCGCGTCGTCGTCGTCGTCGTCTTCCGCGCTCCCTTCCGGGCTTGCTTCGGCGGACGCCTCGGTGGACGTTTCTGTGTCGATTTCCTCGCCGTCATCGCCAGTGCCGACCGGCGCCACGGGCGCCGGGCCGTCAGTTCCCTCGTCTCCTCCGGCGGGCGCAGGTGACGACGCTCCCTCCCCGTCGGTCTCGGGCGGAATGTCGCCCGGCTGCGGCGTCACGACCGCGTCGGGGCTGGCCGACGCTCCAATCTCCTCGCCCTCGGGCGGCGGGATCACGTCACCGTCGACCAAAGCCGTGGTCAATTGGAACGGCAACAGAACGTCGCCGACGACATGGACCCACCCGTTCGTCGCGAGCACATTGCGTGGCCCAGCCGTCGTATCAGCGGTGTCATCACCATCAACGATCACACCGTCGACAAACTTGAGCTCACTCCCCTGCTGCGTCACGGCGCTGCCGCGATTCTCCAGCTCCTGGTACGGGAGCGACTCCCCGATGATGTGGTACGTGACGAGGCCGCGCAGGTCGATGAAGGTGGCGCTCTCGACCTCG